TGCATGAATATATATACACAGATGACATGCAGAAGAAAAAGTCCATCTCATCATCTCTGTCTGGCCAGTACCCTGGAGTCACCACCACTGGAAGCATTCAAAAAACCTGTGGACGTGGCACGTCAGGACATGGTTTAGGGGGCATGGTGGTGTCAGGTTGACGGCTGGACTTGATGATCTTAAAGGTCTTTTCCAAACTTACTGGTTCTGTGATTCCCCAGTCACCTCAGCCTCTTTGCTGCATGCAGAAGAGCCCCAACGTGTGCTCCAGGCAGAGTGGTGGGGAAGCAGAACGCCTCGGACGTCCTCCACCAGCCGGGAACGGCCCTCCGCCCCGCACAGCGCCGGTCGCAAGGGACGACAGCCCGAAGAGCTTGTGATGGAGTTTTCCCCCAAATCCCAAGCCAGGGAGGCAACACAAAGTCAAACGAAGAACATCTGCCCTATCCTCACACTGCCTGTCTTCCTCAGAGATCGGGGCGGCAGGGGTGGAGCGAACCAACAAAATATATAGTCCCTTTATACATACATTTTCACAGGAGGAGCCAGCGTAGATACAATACTAGCTACAGTGGCCACCACAACACCCAGGGCATCTGCAGAGAAAGCATCCCGGTCTAAAGTTTGAAAATGCCAAACCACGTGCTCTCTTTATAATATGGTCATTTATTAAAAGCAAGGCGGGGGCGGGGGGGAACCAACAAACCAACACCCCGCATTTAATCCTTGATCCTTGCATACAAATCCTGAAAGACAGAAGGTCTGTATGCACTGGAGGCCAGGCAATTTGCATGTTTATAATTCTACTGAGAATTTTCAAACGCAGGAGGGGAGGAAAAAGATTCTGTATCTCCTTAACCTTAAAGGATCATACATTTACCACTTCTAGCTTCATTGCCCATAATTTATATAGCTTGTACACTTAGTGTTGTCTCTTTTTAATTCATATGCAAGCCCTCTACAGTCTCCTACCTGACTCTTATTTTGAATATAGCCTCATGTAGCAGCCAAACACTCATGAAAAGCCCTGTAACATGTTCGCTTGGTATTCCCTATAGATGAAAAACAGCCTTAGTAAAGAAAATTCAGTTATAAGTTGTTTAGTCAGAATTCTTTTTAAGAAGCCACTGTGTATTCATTACAAAAATAGCATGACTCCTAAGAAACAACTGGTATCATAATTCATTTGAAACTCCTACTCCCCAAGCCTATGGGTGTTCCATATGGGATCCTACTATATTAAATCCACTCAGTTGTTCTCTATTATTTTTCATTCACGTATCAAATTAAACGCTCTCAAGTCTAATGCCCATCTAAAGGCAATGCACTATGCCTTCAATTAAAACCATGGATTATAAATTTTATATACAGTTTAACAACCTTGCAGGAAGTCAAACCTGAAGACCAAAACCTGACAAAATGACACTCACCTAAAGCAAAAAGAATTGTATTGCTTTGAGATGCTCAGAGATATTTTCTCTTGAGTTGTCAAAACTAAATTACCAGAGGAGCTGCAGACTAAATTTAGACTCTCCAGAGCTGCATCCATCCATAACCTGGCCTTTTTGGCACATCACTACTACAGTAGGCATTCAGAAAGCTCAAGGGACCCTGCACTTTGCTCGGCCTACTTAGCAGAGACAAAAAACACATCTAAGACTCCCAAAGAATACAAATACTTCATGGCTAAGCCAGCCTCTTTGCTGCTTCTCATCCTAGCAGCTCTGCTCCTGTAACTGGCAATTGGGAAACAGGCTGGTATTGCTACAGCACGTGTATTATCAAAGCTTCTTCTCCACAGCAATGAGAAAAAGAAGGGCTGATTGTTTTTCTGTCTTTATTTATGAACTGTCACGTTAAGCTTTACGTGTTCTCTGAATAAAGCCTTTAGTAAAGGCAGAATGTCACGTTATTCCTTCTTGCTTAAGCTCAGTATGTCCAAAATTATTGCTAGGCTGGCTGCAAAACGTGGGCACCCATGAGGTCTCATGGTCAGGTGCTGCAGACAAGCGTATGCCAGATCGAGGTGGCTCACACCTCCTAAAAGTAAAGCCTTCGAGCTTTTCACTCAGACTTAGCATCCTCCCCTCCTCACCCCTGCTTTTTTTGGCCTTGCATTTAGCTTCTTCCAGCCTTTGGATTGCTCCTTACTAACAAAAATGTACAAGGACTGAATAGTCATATAACAGCATAACAAATCATAATGCTTTTTTAGGAAAAAGAAGATGATGCCCATACAATTTTACGGTAGGTTAGAAAAATTCAGTTACAGTGGCTCTTGCAGCTCCCTGTTGATGCTGTGAAATGCTTCATAGCTCTAAAGAGTTTCCCACATATTCCTTCTTTTTGAAGTCCTTGAGAAACACTCATATTTTATGGAAACTAACATTAAGCTACATGAAAGCTGCCAATGCTTCAAGGAGTGTCAGCCACAGGAAAGCCAGAATGAATGAGTTAGATCGGCCGTTCTCAAACTACGGTCCATACCATGCTTGCTGGTGCTCTGCCTGTTAGTTGGCTAGTCATTTGTGCTACTGTTTCCTTAGTTTCCAACCTGTAAACTACACTAGAAGTACCCTAAATAACCTATAGGTACATTAAATAAACTACCTGGAGTTTACACAGTAAACTATATTAAATACAGAAAGATGCCCAAAGCTTCTTGTTCCTCTATTTTCAATCCCTACAGATGCATGTCTTGCACGTGAGAAACGCAATATGCAGCCTCAAATGGAAAGGACCTCGTCCAGTAAGACTACTGTGCTCTAATGCCTGCAATAATCTAGCAGAGTTTAGATTCACCAGTTCAGAGAGTAAAGTCCTCCAGACCACAGGAAGGACTGTGCTAGAATGCTTCTTCAGATAAGGAACTACTAAAGTCCCTTCTGGGATAGCGATGAACTTCAATGTAAAAGCAAGAATGTGCAAGTATCAAGCTCGACTATCAAACCAAATGGGGAAATTCAGGTTTACAGCTTTGACCCATTAAAAGCATCAGGTAGCAACAGCAATTAATACAATCCAGGAAGATTTGAGGGAAGAAAAGACTTTTTCTTTTAAATGGGATTTTATACAGGATGGAGTAAGAGCTCTAAATGAGATGACCTTTTTTCAGTTTTTCCCTTGTGGTGTGTCCCAAAATCCTCACTGGAGGTCACAGAGGAAGTTGTATAAGAAGCTATGTAATGAAATGGGACAGTGGGTTTGTGACAATTTCCATGCTTTCTCCTGCCTGCCCCACCCAGCTGAAGTCTCTCAATCTGATCTTCTTAAATATATATCTTTAACTCATTGTATTCTGCATAATCAAAATTTTCTTAGATCACCTCTCCCCTACTTTGGGAAAGGGTTTTGGGGTTCGGGGTTTTTTTGTCTTTTTTTGTAAGCCCACACACATTTAACTTGACGGAGAATTCACTTCAAAGCTTCCTTTCAACTATTTATGAGCATATAAATAGCTATGCAGGAACAAGTCAATAATTTGTCTAGTATGCTTCCTGTTTCAAACAATGGCAAACATTGAGTATTTTGGGACAAAAATGTCCATTTTCTTGTGTCTTTCTATCGCCTAATACGTATGTGTGCATGTGTATATCTATATGTATATGTCTATATATATACCTACACCCATATTTACACACAAACACACACACATCCCCACACAAATATTTCTTTCATGTATAATTCACCAAAAGAAAACACTCAGGCTAACTTACAGACACATAAATATAACAAAAGCTAAATAGAACATTTCAATTTCAACTTTAATAACTGTTAAAAAGGCTATTTCCCATGTTCTAGGTCTTTAATTATTTAGTTTATATCAGCTACTTACGTGCACTTTAACCTGCACTTTTTCAACCTCAATTTTATAGTAATCATGCAAGCCTGCTTCTGCAGCTGAGATTTGTTTTTTAAATTTTGAAGAGTAGGCTATGAGGTTATCATCCTCAAAGTGTTTTCTGTACCTTTCAGGGAACATCTCTGAAACAGAAAATTTACCCAGAATGGTAGGTAAATTCAAATATATGAATATAAGACTCCATTTATGCATTTCAGATGGACCAGCAAATAGCTGAAATATGGTAATGTGGTTTCAGTTCCATGTACTTAGAGCATGGTCTTCGTAAGTAAGATATTCCCAGCATGTCAGTTGTCTGGAAGTAGCAATCTAAGTTAGATCTCCTCCAATACAAGCATCTTCAAAATTAAAAATCACAGCAGGAAATCAGAAAGAATCACTCCCCAGGGGCATCTGTATTCTCAGTGAAACATCAGCCTTTGTCTGTGTCATTCCTAGTCATCATCTAGTTACAGACCCCGTAGTTTAACACGTATCTTGTAGTTGCAACTCTGATTAACCAAACTGTCCAAAGTATTCAAGCCATTACCCCATTACCCTTTTTTTCAGGGCTCATTACAAAATTTACTTACAACAGGAGTTCAGTTACATTTAAAGATAAACAGGCACATTTTCTTGACAAACTTCTAAAACCCTCACAGCAGCTAAAGGCTCATTTCCTCAAATCCATGTTTTTCTTCACAGTCACACTTGTGTTCTTTTCCTGCAAACATCAGCAGGGATTTGAGGACCCTTACCAGGAAGCAAAAGGTGCTGGAGAATTTTGTTCACCCAGGGTTTTCTACTTTTCTCTTTTTCAGCTATTTCCACTCTCTATTTGAAAAGATACCACCCTGGTAGCTTTAAAACACAAAAGCTTATCACTGTATTCCTTTCTTGCTTAGTCAACCTTTTTATTACTTTTAAGTATCTTATGCTACATTCGTCTCATTCACCTCTGCATTTGTTATGCTTTCTCAAGGCACTTTATCTTTCCACAATTAACGTGAATGCAGAAACGCTTCCTTTGCACATACCTTAGTCTCTTTTCTCAGAGTAACTGTTTTATGTCAAAGTTAAAAGTTATCTATTTTCAACAGATCAGATTTTTAAAGTGGTTTGAAAATAAACATTTGTAGAGCATACGGCGCTTTCTTACCTGAACAGAGTTGTTCGACTTTTGTGTAGTTTAAAGCTAATATATCATTAACCCATGCGATGATGTCATGTCTGCTCATAGTCTCTTGGGTTATAGAGGTAGAGTACACGTTGACCGCCATTCCCCAACTAGGAAAAGAAAAGACGAAAAATATTTTTGACATTTTGATAACTGTTTTCTGGATACAGTGAATTTACAACTTGTTCAAAAAAAGAAGCAAAAGCTGCATCACTGCACAACCTTCTCTTATTTATTGAGAAAGGAGGCTTAATTTTTATTCTTTGATGGCACATAACCTCCTCAGTGTTCTCCTGGAATCCATGAGCATATTTCTCTGGCTGTCATTGTGAACTCTGGGCAACGAAGTTGGTGAGGGGGCTGGAGCACACGTCTTATGAGGAGCAGCTGAGGGAACTGGGGTTGTTCAGTCTGGAGAAGAGGAGGCTGAGGGGAGACCTTATCGCTCTCTACAACTACCTGAAAGGGGGTTGTGGTGAGGTGGGTGTTGGTCTCTTCTCCCAAGTAGTGACAGAACGAGAGGAAATGGCCTCAAGTTGCACCAGGGGCTGTTTAGACCAGATATTAGGAAAAATTTCTTTACTGAGAGAGCGGGCAAACATTGGAACAGGCTGCACAGGGAGGTGGTGGGGACGCCATCACGGGAAGTGTTCAAAAAATGTGTGGATGTGGCACTTCAGGACATGGTTTAGTGGGCATGGTGGTGTTGGGTTGATGGTTGGACTTGATGATCATAAAGGTCTTTTCCAAACTTAATAATTCTGTGATTCTGTGAACTTAAATAACATACAAACCTACAGTATTCTGTTTAATAAGGTAGGGAAAAAAGAATCAGACGCAGCCCAAAGATACACAGAGAGCATCTGATTTCATAACACAGTGCTGCACAAATACAGTCATCTGGCATCTATCCATCAGGTTTTTTGCCATTTTGGGATGATCAGACTGCCTAAACCAGTATTTAATTTTCAGGTAACTTCTAGAAGATGTAGCTGTTCTGCTTACTCAAATACTGTTTTCTTACTGGAACAGGGGCCTTTTGGATCATTAATTCAGTTCCTAAACAGTCACAGAGTGACTACTAGAGAATCTCTTTTATCAATTTACTAACCTCTATTCTGAAAGTAACTGAGACTTGCACCCCCAGCCATCTGGTTGGAAAGCTGCTGTGGAGCCCGATTCCTCTAAATCGTTAGGCGCATTTCCTCTCAGCTTAAACCCATTTGTTCCTCTACAAACATTATCCTCCAGCTCTAATGGTTTTTTCTTCCCCAGAGCTGTTTTCATAATGCAGTAGGGACAGCACTCAGAGTCTGTCCCAATGCCTACGTAGGCTGGATTAAACAAATCAATCCTCCGAGTCTCTTACCAAGTCAGAGCTTCACTTACTGGTCATGCCAGCAGTCCTCCTTGAACACAGCCAAACAGTTTCAGACTGTGTTCAGATAACATTTCACCAAGACCTTGGAAAATGTCATGCTGTACTGAAAATTTTCACACCCACATCATCTTAAATAGATCTTTCTGGGTAGCTAAGGTCCCTTCCTGCAATTAGGTAATTCATAGTGGTTTTTATCATCAGTCCCCAAGTGCGTAGACTAGAAACACATACTACTGGATTTTATTCCTGTTATTCTACACTAGTCACATCTTTCTGTTGCAAGACATTGCCAAGAGAAAAGATGAGCACATTCAAGTTTCTTTCATCAACAGTTTCAAAAAGAGGAGAGCCAAGACCACTCATGAAAAGAGTAAATAATGTTCCCAAGTAGTCCACTAGCAACAATCTGAGTAAGAGGTGCCTCAGAAATAATCAAATAGTCAAAGTTACACTATCATTCTTGGAAAGAAAGAGTTTGGTGGGGACTGCACACCTTTGTCTCAAGTGTTAGCTACAAAGTGCCACTAAACTGGCTGACTTTGGTGGCAGTCCTGCCACCTCAGTCTTAGACCTCAACCTTCTCCCTCAGTGGAAAAGAGCAGGACCTCCTCTGTGGGATCCGAGGTCTGTCTGCTTGGACTATTTCCATTGACAACTTGCAAAGATCTAACTGTTTGAAGCTTGATAGAAAATTCTGCAGAGAACACAAAGGCTGCAGGTTAACTCCATCCATTTTTTAGGTGTGCTGGCACAACCCAGATAAAAAGTGTAAAATGCCCACCAGCATGAAACTTGACACAGTAACATGCAAGTGTGTAAGTATATACAGCAGGGAACATCTTTAAAATACAAGGCGACAAAGTTCATAATATAGGTCTCTTTTTACGAAACAAATTTCACAAACGCAGAAGATCGTTCAAATTGTCTCCATTTACGGACATTAAGATCCAAAGCATAAAATCCCCAAATTTGCCTGATGACAAAGGGAAAAAAAAAGAAAAGAAAAAAAAAAAAGGAAAAGCGGAAAAAAAGAAGAAAAGAAAATGTCAGGTCTGTAAGGGAAAGTAGGCTCAAAAAAATCCATGCTCTGATAGTCAGGCTACTGCCAGCAATTCATTCAGAACCAGGCTGCCCCTCTACCCACTTCTGTGCCGGCACCTCTGGAGAAATCAGCCTGGCCTCAGCCTCTTCTGCTCTTCCCGCAGGCTCCCAGACGGCACGGATAATTGCATGAACATAGCACTGTATTCACTGTAAGAGTTAGCAAAGGTCGCTCTCTTGGCACACGGACTGAACTGAGCGCTAGGAACAGTTTCAGAAACAGGGAGTGTCCTTTTGCTTTTAAAACCACACCTTAAGGGCTAAGCCTGAAAGCTTAGCTCCGACATGAGGATGGGAGGGACTGGGCAAGCAAACAGCACCTTTGTTACTAATGGCATCTGAAGTTTGAAACATCGCTGTTAGCATGGTTTTTACTTTAATATTTTTAGCCTTTTGATATAGATAAGAAACTAACAGAAAGATACTACCTCTGTCAGTATTAAACCAACGCGTTCAGTATTGTTTGTAAGATCGGTTCAAGTAACAGCTTAAGAGTGACTTTAATATTCACTGAAGATATAGAGAGTTTAATATGAAACAAAGAGATCAATATGAACAGTCCACTCGCTTCTAAAGAGGCTAAAGATATTTAGATGCTAACATTGGAAATAAAGCTACTCTGATTTGTAATTGCCACTACAGCATCCAAATTTGAATTGTCCTCTCGAGGCCAGGCAGAACTCAGAACGACTATCAGCTACCAGTAGTGAAAGCAGCAAGTCTACTCTGTTAAAAAGATCAAGAAAGTCCACATGCAGGAAGGAAGCAGAAATTCCCTTGTCATCGTCTTCCAAAAGCAACTGCAAAAAGAAATACCTATCCTGCAAGCAGCAGGAGAGCAACCAACCTCCTTTGCTGCAGCACATGGAATGAGAAAAACTACTGCAGGAAACAGTGAGTAAATGAACAACCTTGAGTTTTACAATGATACCCTGAAGGATATCTGTAATATAATTTACATTGTGAATGAATTATTATGGTCTATGGGTCAAACGAATGTTCAGGCTGTTTGTTAGAGACAATAGCTTCCCATTTGTGTGAAGATACGGATAAGCATGATGGTCTATCAATACAATTTTAAACAAATGTATGCAAAATGAAACATAATTTCTGTTAAAAAAAAATCAACAACATGCCATTGCCATTTATTCTCAGTGATTTATGTTAACGTATGTCTGAATCTTCCACGGCCTCTTCTCTCAAAAGAGTTCACGGTGTCTTCTCATCCCTCAAAAGAGTTCACCATGTCTTTGCTTCTTCTGTTCCCCACCCTCCTAATGGTTACGGTTTAAATAAACTCAGCTGGGAAAGGTTTCCTTTACAGTAAGCATGTTCTAATCTGGTGCTCAGATACACACATATCCTGTTTGCCACACAGACAGACCTTGAAAAAACAACACAAAAGAGAGAAGAAAAAAAAGAACAACCAGGCATAGGTAACGGAGCCACCATGGTCGGCAACAGGCAAGAACCCCTGCGCTCAACATCCACAGCTGGGCCTGGGTTTTCTCCAGGACTCGGTTCCCCGTGTGCTGAACTGCTTTGAAAAATATGAGCCAGATTCAAAACACGTATTAATAAACATCTGTAAGGCGATGGAAGAGAACAGCTGGGCAGGCAAAGACGCACAGGCTGTACCCTGTGAACAGCCAAGTAGTTAACAACTTGGTTGTATGTCCTAATATACTGCTACTTCCCAAAAACATTATTTACATTTTCAACTTGTCGGGCTTTCCCTTGTTTAGACTGAAGGCTCTCAAGCGTAAGACTGATGAGGCTTATGCAAGCCTGAAAACCAGCATCTACCTGATCTCTCCCACCTTCCACAGAGATGCCCGGAGATTCTACAGTAACGAAAAGCAGATTTGAAGATAGCACGTCATATCCCCCGTTTCAGAGCACACGGGTGGAGATGAAAAACCTCGGGCTGTTACAGTACTGCCTAACCACAAAGGACTCTCCCTTGTTTTACTTACAAAGAACTGAAATTAAAATCCCCAGTAAATACAATCAAGCCCCAGCAGTCTTCACGTATCAGTCCAGGCCATTTCAGAAAAACATTTCACACACGCACAACTAAGCACCACAGACCTGAGTTCAGAGGATTAGTTAGGTGCTGAAAAATCACGTATATGCTTAAGCAGTTTCCCCAATCAGAAATATACTGGCTCAGCACGTCCGATGATAAACATTACACCCAACGGAGTATTATTTTTTTAAGGCATTACACGCAGTATTGAACATTCAGCTATTAGGCATTTTCCAGTACTCCTGGTACAGATAACTGCAGCTGTTACAAGGTGCTATCCAGCTGTGTTTAAGGACAGTTTTGCGAGAGGCATGTTTAGTTTTCCGGGGAGAAACTGGCGGTCGTTGACAGCAGAGGCTGTATTACAACAACCAGTAACAACGGCAAGACTGGAAGGATTACAGCAACGAGTCTATCCGTAGTGTAAAAAAGCATCACACGCGCCATCACCTCTGAACCTGCACGGCCCTCCCGTTTCGTACCAGTAGGTGCAGTAGGATGTTAAGTTTTTAAATGCAGTAGAAAACCTGTGTGACAATACAAAGAGGAGCCTTCTGGAAGCTGGCACCTCATAGCATCAGGATAGATACTGCCA